TCCAGGTGGGGGCCCGGGGGGTGGAGACCTGGGGGGGTGTAGACCCTGGGTGTATTTCCAGGGTGGGGGGCTGCCCCCTCCCCCCATAAGCAAGTTCAGGGGGTGCTAATAGGAGATGGGCCCACCCCCCCCCCCCCGGGGATGCCCCCCTGGCGGGGGGGGGGGTTATGGGCTTCACCCCTCTACCTCTAGCCACAGGCGCCTGCCCCCTCCCAGAGCTGGGAGCAGAACCCAGGAGTCCGGGCTCCTATTCCCCTGCTGTAAACACTAGGGCACACGTGTTCCCCAGATCTGGGAATGGGAAGGGAACCCAGGAGTCCTGCCCCCCTCCCTCCCCCTAGCACCCTGTGCTCTCTCCCAGAGTGACTAGAGCCCAGGAGCCTTTGCTCCTGCTCTAACCGGTGGACTGCAGTCTCCCCCTTATCATGGGAATAGAGTCCTGGCTCCCAGCCTCCTGCGTGAACCAGGCCGCCCTGCCTCCTTCTAAATGAATCTTTGATGATAGAAATAAAAGATGTGTTTAATGTCTAGCGCCCCAGGGGAGATGTGCGGGGGAGCTAAATCTATGAGAGGAACGGGTGTGAAATGCTGTGACAAACAAGATGCTGTATCTTCTCTCTCCCTTTCAGAACGGAAAGATGAAGGTTGTCAATCTAAAACAGGCCATTCTCCAGGCTTGGAAAGAGCGGTGGAGCGATTACCAGTGGGCCATAAACATGAAGAAATTCTTCCCCAAAGGAGCCACGTGGGACATACTTAATTTGGCAGGTCAGAGTTTGGTTTTGTTTGACTGCTCGGGCGCACATGTCTGTTTGCGTTATGTGCGTGGTACAAAGTGAGACAAACGTATGATCCAGAAAAGCAAACTGCAGCACTTGTATTACGTTCAGTGTTATTTCTCTGCTGGCGTTGAAACTTACCCTAGTTATCAAGGCTGAAAAACTCCCCATCAGGAAACTTGGAAACGAAGGCTCCTACCCTCCAAAGACTTGTATATGTGTGGAGCCGTTCACTGGGGCCACTCGTGCTTAAAGCCAAGTATGTAAATCTTAGGAAGAGTGGGGTATATAGCGTGATTGTTGGCTGCAATAACTCGCTGAGCTATTACTGACACTGAGAGATGCAGGTTGGCTTAGTGGATTGAACGCTAAATGGGGACTAAAGAGACCTGGGTTCTCTTCCTAGCTGTGCCTCTGGTTTGCTTGGAGACCTCAGGCATCCCCTTATGCCTCAGTTTCCCCACCTGTACAGTGGGGATAATGATCCTTATCTCCCCTGTAAAGCACTTAAAGATCTGTGGATACAAAGTGCTGTATAAGAACTAGGTACTTCTGTTGTTATAAGCCTTAGGGATGATTGTTTATTAAGGAACTGAAAGCATCTTCCGACCCACAGATCTCATTAGAATTTGTTTTTCTCATCCCAGTTCAAGAAGGGAGATTGACACAAATCCTGCTAAATGGTGGTACCTGCTGAGTATATGTAGGTAAAATAATTGCCAGGCTTTTATGCCAATTATGGTAACATGTTGTTAGTTTTTCCTGTATATGGTGTGTGTTTGAAAGCCCTGTGTAAACTAACACAAATCACTTGTTCTCGAGTGGATGTAAAGGAGTGGTTTTCAAGAGAAATATTTCCCATTCAAACCAACATGGAGAACTGGACTGAACGTCCTAATTATGCTAGATGAGGGTTGGCTCTCCCGTAACCTAAGATCATATCTTCCCCACATGCGATTCCATTCATTTGGGTCCATTTTCTGTTTAGTGAGAGGTGGGGAATTCTCTGTTTCACTCGTGAGATCCCATTTCTGTTCCTTTCAAAAGTTCTTTCTTGGTGCATTAACATAGTCTTACAGAATTTACCAGACACCTACTGGCCAGAGGACTAGCGTGGAATCTGGATTGTGGGGACACCAGTAAGGTCCCAGGGCTGTGGGTGAAAAGTCCAGCTCAAACCTGCAGGGTAGAAGGAGGGTACTGTAATGTTAGGCCTGGACATTGCCTGAGAGTACCATTTTTGTAATCTCACTCTCTGGCTAGAGGATAATGGCTAAATTTTGAAGCCTCACCTTGCCTGCTGGGATGGAAAAGAGTTCTGCTTTGCTTGCCCTCCAATTGCAAGCCTACTGTAAAGTGAGGTATCTGCTCCTCTACCCAACCCCACCTTCTCAGCTGCTGCAGAGGGTGTATTCTTCTGCTACAGTCACTGTCCCCTGTGAGTAGCTCCATTTTCTGCTTCTGCTGTTAGCCATCTTGGGCAGCAGAAGAGTAAAATGTCCATGGTTATTTTGACAGTTGTGATTAGTGTTCTATTATTTTTGCTGTGCTGCTGCTTGGAAAAGCTCTGAGCAGCGGCACTGAGGCAGTCTGCAGGCTCAGGAAGACGACGCTGTATTTATATTTGGCGTGTGCTCTTTAGAACTACTAGGATTAGAAAGGTAGTGTTTTGAGAGCTGCAGAAATTTATCATTTAGTGCTCCCCTCCCCTAATGATAGAAAGCTCCCCGTTCACCAGTGGTGAATAGCTTTTGTTTTTAAAGCTCTTCATGATCTGATACTTGTCATACAAAAGAATTTACTGGGCACCACATGATCCATGTGGAAGATCTGTGACTCTGAGTTACCACTTATAACTGTCGTGTACTGCAAATCAGTCCCAAGATAAAAATCCTTCAGATAGCATTGTGATAGGATATAGCTAACCCCTCTCCCTCTCAAGTTCTGTAAACAGTAACCATAAAAATGCGCCTATATCGAGAAACTAACCCGATTCAGAGCTCAGCCACCCCCAGCGGCTGTGTATTCCTCCTCCCAGCCCTACGCTCCTCTCTGCCTGTTGTTTCCTGCCTTCACTCCTTTGTCTGCACTTTATCTTCTTAGATGGTAAGCTCTTTCAGGGCAGAGATTCTAGGCCTTGACCGTATTTAGCACCGTTTGGGCACTGTGGGTGGCTAATATTTTCAAACCCAGGTACCTAAAGTTAGGCTCCTACATCCAGATTTAGCCACGTAACCTCAGCTCTGCTGGGGCAGGGGAACCACAGTTGTTCAGAATTGTTGACATTCAGGGCACTTCCATGTCATTGCCTAAATGTGCATGCGGGAGCTTGAGTTTACGCTCCTGTATTTGAAACTTTTGGCCCATATCAATTATAACAGAGTCTCTCTGTCATCTGTAGAGTTTGTGTAGCAATGAGGCAGCACAGGTGAAGCAGTGATTCCCCGTTCTGAAGAGGCTAACCTGAGTGGTGTGGGTGGCAGGGGGATGGGAGGCAGCGGAAAGGTACTAGGCAGACTTTGGAGACTTTGTTTCTAGCCCCCGTTCTGTCACTGCTGTGCAGCCTTTAGCAAGTCTGTTCCCCTCGCTCTGGGTCTGTATTCCCTTCACCCACTGCCTGTCTCGTCTGTGTAGGGTAAGGACTGTCTCTTACGACGTGTCCATAAAATGGGCCTTTGGTCTCGATTGCGGTTTCTAGCAGTGCTACCTTAATACAAATAATGACAGGGTTGTGGGAGTCCAGGGAGCACTGGTTTGTCACTTGGAATAGCTCTGATGATCACCTTGTTTGTAATTTCGGATGAGGTGGTTTCCTTTAAACCCCCCATGCATTAGCCCTAGAACGGTGCTTTTTAACGTTCAGACGCTGCTTTCAAATCCAAAGATCGAAGGAAAATATCTGGCCGCGAGATGCCAGAACAGCCCCAGTGCCTGGCGGAGCTGTAGTGATACATCCGCGATGGATCATAATGTCTCGCCTGGGTTGTCATGCTCCCTGGTTACAGGATGACGGGAAGGGGAAAGTTACCATTAGAATTCTCTTTCTCTCTGGTGAGCAGAAAGATGCATTTAGTTTCCCAGTGTCCATAATTGCTGAGCAAGCTCTAGGATGTGACTTGCAGCCAACAATTCTGATTCAGTGCTTGTGATTTATTATCGTCTGGGGATCCAGACTGGTGCATTATTTTTGAGCAATTGCCCTCCAAGAAAGTGAGGGATGCACTTATTTAGAGATTCCCAAACGGCAGCTTCCACCTCCAGCGTCTGGCTGCCTCAGACTAATTAAAACAAATGCTGCAAAATATGGGTCTGCCTTTGTGAGGAAGCCTCCGTGCTCTGCTGGATAGTTCAAATGGTCAATTAAAAGCTTGACTGAACAGATAGGACATGCACTGCACCCGTGAGCTGCCAAACCCAGGCTCTGGCAGGGGGATTGCCCGGGGAAGCGGGCGCCGAAAGCACATGGGCATTCTCAGCAGAAGGGCCATTCGCCAGGCCTGGAGAGTCAGGAACCAATAGCAAAAGCCACCCAGCCGTGGCAACAGCCAAGAGATGTGTGTGAGCAGAGATTTTCTCCCAGATCGTTGGGCCCCAGTAAGTTGGAAGTAAGTGATGGGATGTTAGATGGGGTGGGATCTGAGTTACTGTGGAGAATTCTTTCCTGGGTGTCTGGCTGGTGAGTCTTGCTCACATGCTCAGGGTTTAACTGATCGCCATATTTGGGGTTGGGAAGGAATTTTCCTCCAGGGCAGATTGGCAGAGGCGCTGGAGGTTTTTCGCCTTCCTCTGCAGCGTGGGGCGGGGGTCACTTGCTGGAGGATTCTCTGCCCCTTGAAGTCTTTAAACCACGATTTGAGGACTTCAATAGCTCAGACATAGGTTAGGGGTTTATTACAGGAGTGGGTGGGTGGGTGAGATTCTGCGGCCTGCGTTGTGCAGGAGGTCAGACTAGACGATCATGATGGTCCCTTCTGACCTTAAACGCTATGAGTCTAAGAAGGGTGATGCACCTTGATAACAGCAATTTCCAGACAGTGGGGTCCATTTTGGCCCAAGATTCTCTGCAAGAGCTGAGTTAGCGGCAGGATGCTTTATGCTTCCTAAGTTATTTATTGTCCTCTGCTACTGGGAACGGGCCATTGTAGGATTGGTTTAATTTAAAGAAGGCGTCGTGCTAAATCTTTGGGATCAGCAATATTTTCTTTATCTCCTTTCCTGCTTGTGGGATGTGCCGACAATGAGAGATCATGTGTTAGCTGAACTGAAATCTCCGGCCTTTCTTATTTTCATTTCAGAAGCTCTTCTTGAACAGGCCATGATTGGCCCATCGCCCAACCCACTGATCTTGTCCTATCTGAAATATGCAATCAGTTCCCAGGTAACAACCTCCGTAGCACTTCCCCTTTTCAAAGTGCCTCACAGACACTGAGGAATTACCCTTCCCAACCCCGAGTTAGGGGACTTGTTGCTCCCGGGAAACCAAGGTTCAGAAGCTAAGTGACTTGCCTAGATCCACAGAGGGAGTCGGTGTGCGAGCCAGGATTGGAATTCAGAATTTCCTGTCTCCCAGTGCGGTACTCGAGCATGCTTCTCTCCTCTGCAAGGAGATAGTGGCGGAGTGTCCCCCTGATCAGTACGTGCCAAAGCAACGAAGCTTCTGATGGTGGCCTGTGCATACAGGCGGGCATAGAGATCCCTTGCCCTCTAGACCGTGCCTCAGCTGCCAGACACTCTTGCTTTCCTTAGCTTGTTATTTAAAATTGCAGTTTAATGTGAAGTTTGTGTAAAGCAAATCAGTGATCACCTAAAAATGTCTCTTTAAATTTGTGCTGGGTCACTGCCAAAGCCCCTTTTGAAGAGGCAAGTAGCGCAGCTGTAAAATGACCTCATTATTCCTTGGCAACAGAAATTGCATTTTAAAATGTTAGCTAATAACTTTCTTGCTCTGTCTTTTTTTTGTTCCTAGATGGTGTCTTATTCCACCGTCCTGACGGCCATCAGTAAGGTAGATCTTGACGGATGCTGTCTTTCATTTTACCTACAATCTATGCATCCCTTTCTGTCCCACTAACTCCTGCCAGATATAGGTCAAGTGGAAAATGACATCCTTTGCTGAGTCAGCAATGATCAGATGGCACAAACCAAAGAGATTACATTTCTGTGTCCCGGCTATGTGGATCAGGCTGTTCACCATCAATGGAAAGAGACCACTTTGCCTTTCCTTTGGGAAACTGCGCGCAGTTCCTTGTGAGACAAGTTTAAAAGCCTAATCCGTCTGCCATGTGGGTACAACACATTTAAAACCACATGCTGGCACATCCTTTTCACGGCAGTCAACAACTCCAGCAATAGAGGGGTTAATACTTAAAGCCAGCAAGATTGGGCCGCTGTCGGAAGACAGGATACTGGGCTAGATGGACCATTGGCCTGACCCAGTCTGGCCGCTCTTACTGGGCAATGAACCATTCTGAAAATCTGTCCATGGAGACGTTGTGTTTTAGTGACAGAGGGAAATGCACTCCCAGCACAGGGTGCTATGGGTAAAAAGTGGTTCATATGAAAGAATGCTAGTGGTTGCTAGAGTAAGTTACCTGATCAGTGTTCCTCAGCCTTTTAAGGTGGGGAGCCCTTGTTCTCAGTCAGAAATTTTTCACAAGCCCTTATGTTTACTATAGAAATAAAGGGAATAAAGGTTCGATGATGATAATGCTTTAATATTTATGTGTGAGAGTTGAGAGGTTAGGTTGGGGGGAGGGATAGCTCAGTGGTTTGAGCATTGGCCTGCTAAACCCAGGGTTGTGAGTTCAGCCCTCAAGGGGTACACTTGGGGATCTGGGGCAAAATCAGTACTTGGTCCTGTTAGTGAAGGCAGGGGGCTGGACTCAATGACCTTTCGGGGTCCCTTCCAGTTCTATGAGATAGGTCTATCTCCATATATTCTAAGGTTGATAGAGATCACGTGAAGGGTAAGAACATGTGGGCAGTGGGGGAGTGAGATTTTCTTTGCTTTAGATTGTAATGTATCAGAGGGGTAGCCGTGTTAGTCTGAATCTGTAAAAAGCAACAGAGGGTCCTGTGGCACCTTTGAGACTAACAGAAGTACTGGGAGCATAAGCTTTCGTGGGTAAGAACGGCCCAAATCCTTCCATAGGATCCATAAAGTGTGGCTTGTAGAAAAGAGACATTATTCTTCCCCTGAGTCTTT